TGGCAACAAGTAGGGTTAAATTACGAGCTCGAGGTATTTACTTTACCCACCTACTAAAAAAAAAAAAAAAAAAAAAAAAGACTTTGAGGGCAAATGAAACATTTACCAAACAGTCAATAAAATGTCAGGACAATCAGATGCAAGCACTTCCCAAAGTTCCCAGCCAGGTCCAAGACAATGATTAGCAAAAATGTATGATTTTCATGTGTAGAAGTCTGAGCAATTTTAAATGACATTCTACTTTTTTTTCCCCACTTCTCCTCCTCCTCCTGTTTGGTGTTCTGTAATGTAATTTAAATGAAAATCCAGAATTATAACTGGAACGTAGGGTATTAGTTACCAAATGTTTGTAACTTAACTTTCATGTGTTTAGGAAATGCTGAACAGTTTGACTTTTTACTGTATTGCAGTATAAATAAATTACCACAACAACTGAAACCAGTGTGATTGCATTGCATCATTTTAACAAAATATGCAGAATTTTAATTTTTTTGGCGCAGAAACCCAAGAGTAGAAAATTTTGAGCCCTTCACTAACAAATAGAGTAACAGAAGGAAATGCAAATATTCTACAAGATATTCCAACATTATTGTGTTGTTTCTTTTGCTATGCCCCAAACAGTAGCATATTACTTGAAGGATGATTGCACATATCTGAAACATCTTTTAAAATGTTTTGCTTTCAGTGACCCAAATGCATTTCCCAATTGTATTGTTACTGTATATAATTACCTGCCAAAATATCGGTGTTTCTTGCAGCTATCGTTTTAACTTTTATTATTCCTGATTCAGCAGCCTATAAGCAAGAGATAACAATTAGTTCAGCAGATACTTTACAGCTACATTATCTGAAAAGAAAGAGAAGTTATCTATGGTTAATGAAAATTATAACAGTGCAAACATCAGTGCAGTTTTGTTGTATTCTCAGTATGTACAACCAACCTGACAGTGAGGGCTTTGCGCTTTCTGCAATTCTACAGCCACACTCTCCATCTCTCTCCACACAATTTTGATCAAGAACCTCAACTTATAAAAAGAAAGTGAATTACTTTTCTGGTCTTCATGGTTACGAAGATAATCTCTGCCAAACACAAAACCTCTATAATGTAGACTTCCCAAGTCTTCGAACAACATGACAATTGCTATGAATTGCACCATTCATCTCAGCTGAAACACTGACTCGTAAAGCCTAATAATGTAAACATCAGCAATTTTTTCACTGATTATTTTAGCAGTAGCATTCAGCTAACACACCTGTCCACTGCTGTTAGATGCAGTAGCGGATGTTGGACAAGCAATGGGGAAACTGGCTGTTGTCAAACTTGAATCAGCTGACAAAACTTCCAGCTTTAACCCCAAAACAATCATGCAACATAGTTACAAGATCGGAGGGAAGTGTATATCAAAACATTTTGAAATGGAGATTTCTGCTGAACTTATTATCAAAACTAAGTTACAAGAGATGCTTCATCAAATAAGACTACTATTTTTCATCTTGAAATCAATATAAATGTTATTTTTGTTTAATGTAACAATCAAACAAACATCTTTTAAAAATACATGCATTTAAAATTAATATGAATTTATAACAAGTCATGTTAAGGCCTACAGTTATTATAATCTATTACAAGCATTTAAATTCAATTAATAGTAAACTGTATGTTTGCTGCCAAAGTTTTAAAGTTAAACCAATGAACTCCTGGACATCACTAGCTAAGCACTAGAACCAGAATTTGCTGTAAACCAGCTTTTGACAGTCTTTTGCAGGTGCAGAGAAAATATTTTCTTCATTTCAGTTTATTCAACTAGTTCAGTTCAATGACTAGTTCATTTAAAGTTGAGAAAACAACTGGCAGCTGAAAAAGCAGGAAAGCTTGTTTTTTCCCCTCTTCCAATCTATCCATAAACACTAGATGTGAGAGGATGAGATCTACTACTTCTAAAGCCTTGAAGGACATGGTGATCAGAAATACTCAGTTCAATTCACTAAACTACAGATAATACTTCCTTTGTTTAAAAACATCAGTTTTAAATACAAAACATATTTTGATTAACCTTTCCCCCCTTAAGTATCCAGCACATAAGGTAGTTTTACTTAAAAAAAAAAAAAAAAACAAAAAAAAAACAATGTTTTTGTGCATTTTTAATTTAATTCCAGTTCCATACAAATACAGCTTGTGACAAATCACAGGTAAAAAAAAATTATCTAGTAAATAAAAAATGCATTATTTGCTATTTTATTATATAATAAAAAGTGTACAAATTAATCTGAATAAATGTATATTGAGCTATATAATTGATTAAATAAATGTTTACAGATATAGTACAGGGGTGGCCAAACCATGGCTCGTGAGCTGCATGTGGCAATTTTACAGTTAAAATGCGGCTCACGGAGCCGCCGCCCCATTCTCCACCTACCAGTCTTGGGGGCTGGAGAGCTCAGGGCTTCTGCCCTGTGGTGGGGGTCTAAGAGCTTCTCCCAGAGATGACTGGTGCCTGCTCAGAGTGTGTGTGGGGTGGGGTGGTTCGCCACTCCCCCCCCGAACTGCCTGTGGGGGCATGACTCAAGAACATCTCCCCCCTTACCTTCAGCGGCTCCTCCCTGAAGCTCCCAGGTGTTAGTTCCATGTTGAGAAGCAACAGCAAACAGCTTGGAGGAGCTTTAGCTCCATGGGGAGAGGCAGCAGCAAAAGCAGGTGTTCTCCTGCAGCTCCCAGCTTGCCAGCTCCAGCAGTTGCTGTGCAGGGAGGGGATCCAGCAGCATCATGTGACTGACTGGGGTCAGCAAACACTAGCAAAAATGGGGGGAGGGAGGGGGGAAACGTGACTCCACATGCCCCCTCTCATGCGTCACCTCTGACCTCTGCCTGAGGGGGGGTGGGGGTGTCTCAGGGCTTCAGAGTGATTTTTTTTAAGTTGACAGTGTAAATTTAAGAGAGTAATTGTAATTAATTTAATAATATTACTGAAAATCTTCATATAAATGTGTGTATTTTATTTCTCAGACAAAACCTAAATTCTAAATACATGCCTTTAGCTTTCTACAAGTTTTGTCAATTAAATCCAGGTAAGGAAATGGTAGAACTATGCATCAAGCCTTATACTTTGTTAAATTTCAATTTATTCCTGAAAGTTTTGGGAATGAAAATAAGTTTCACTGAACACCACTTTCCTATACTTCAAAAACTGAACTGACGTACAGTAATAACCATAACTGATGTGCAGATATATTGTCTCGGTTTAAACTGCAGAGCACTGGATGTCTCTCTTATTTATTTCAACTATCTTAACTTCATTTGCTGAAATGTTTAAATTTTTCAGGAAGTCATCTCTGTTCTGCTACAGTTCTAAAAGCTAGAGTAATTAGGAGTATCTTGTCACATCAGATTGTTTCTATTAATTAATATGAAGGATTTACTTGTCACAGTCTGACTTCAATTATCTTCAAACTAAACCTCATCAAATCTTCTGGCAATTGATTTCTTTCGTGCCAGCAGTGACAAACTCAATTTGAATCAAAGAAAAACTAAATCTGCCCGTGGATATAAGATGTTCACAGATGCTACCACACTTTGCTTGGAGAATGGAATAAACAACATTATAGTGTAATGCCCCTGAACTGGCTACACAGCTCTGCAATAAACTTACTAGGAAATATGGAATTGAGTGTCTTTAATATGGAGACATATTACCCCCCCCCTCACTTTCACCGGGCTGGGGTTCGGGTTTGGGAGGGGGTGCGGGCTCTAGGCCTTGTCTACACTACGAGAGTAGTTCGATTTTACTTGCATCGAATTTTTGTAATCGATATTGCAAAGTCGAACGTGTGTGTCCACACTAAGGACAGTAATTCGACTTTGTTGCGTCCACACTAACGGTGATAGCGTCGACATTCGAAGCGGTAGGCTGGGGTCGTCTAGCCGAGTGTTGCAGGAGACCCCTCGGCCCATTGCTATTCTGGGTGTA